GTGGGTGTCACTGTGATATCCACATGAACATGTTGTTCTCCGCAATAACATTCCATAAAATGTCTCTGTGAAGATCGATTGATTCTTCTCCAAATACGCTTGAAAGAAAACGTCTGAAAGGGGAACATTGAAGATTGGGCGGTAAGAATTTGTTATTGAAAATGTTATTTGTGACGGGTGTTGTATTGTTAATTGTAATTCATCGTCGTCGTCTTCTTTCGTTTTTGATTGTTGTGATACGTCCAATTTCGAATTGTCTGGAATGTCGGGTTGTGCGTCGAAGACGGAAAGTGATAATAGAGGTGCAACCGTTTCACTTTTTTCGTGTGAAACGATTTCGGGATGACCGAGACGACTTTGAGGTATATCGTTCATTTCACTTTTCATTTCACATTTCATCTCTTTCACTTCACTTTCTGATTTTGTGGTTGGAGTTCCTTGTGGTGAAATCATCGCAGTGGTTTTTCCATCATGGATTTGAGGAGTTTTGATTTCACATTTTTTGGCCACGTCATTCAGTGATAAATCGGGGAAATCGACAAACACACATTTTAAATTTAAACAGGACATCAGTGTTGAATTTCTCATTTCATTATCAAGTAGGTCCAATAACACACAATAAAATTCGGACGCATCGTTTTGGTCATTTCCGCTAAATATTTCGTTGTGTTTACCAACAAGGACTTTAACAGCTCGTGGGGTACATATCGCGTAATTCCCCTCAAACATCGCTTGTGTTAATGCGATAAAAGCATTCGACACTAAATTATGGTATTGAATTTCATTTCCCGGATATTTCTCATTTTCTATCATATATCTTGTACTCAAACAATAATTCCTTATCAACGTGGTGTGTGTAAGCGCTTGTAAAACACTATTCATATAACACGTGTTACCTAAATTATACAACCCACAGACTCCCATGGGTAGTGGCTTACTGATTTTCTTATGGGTTTGCTTTGTAAACAAACGATAAAAAAACTCCATGATTTTCGAGTTCTTTTTGTTAAAATGAAATAAAATAAAATGCAAATTGGATATCGGACTCCTTTGATTCTTTCATTAATTCTTCTTTAAATTACTAATTATATTAAATATAACTATCAGTTTTAGTACACTTTTTCTCGAATTAAAAATCAAAGTTTTTGTTTTGTTCTTTATTATAGTATTATTAATTATACTATATAATACATTTATTATTATCTTAATTTTAATATAAATATGTTTTTAATTTTTATTTCTTTAAAATTTTATGGTTTTTTTATATTTTTTTATTTAAAAGAGCATAATAATGTTATTCCTAAAATAATAATAACATTATTTTTCAGTTGTTATTCTTAATCGTTTTTTTACTATTATTAAACTTGTACTCTAAATATGGTTGATTATAGTAAAATAATAATTTTTTAAAAAAAAAGATAGTCAATAATTAAATTAACTATTGATTGAAGTATAGTTCTTTGATATTTTTTCTATTTTTCAGAAATGGAAAAAAGGAAAATTTCTTTTTAATAAAATACTTTTTGTTATTGAGTAATGGATTAATAACTAGTACTCTTATTAATTCATTATATTAAAACACGCGATTAATAAAAATATAATAAAAATAAACTATAAATATAGTTGTTGATACAACCAATGGAAACTTTCTACTTTCTTTGAACGTTTTCGACGACATGAATAAATTGGTAAGCCATTCCCCTCTGTTGTTCGAGGAGTTTAAAGAATTCCATTTTATACAAAGGCATCAGATTAACTATTCCATTTAGAACCATTTCGACGGTATTATAGACATGACTTTCAGACACTGTTGTTTCTGTTGTTGGCATCTCTTCAATGGAACTGATATGGTCCAGAAACACATTGACAGAAACATACTGTGAAACAACATAATCATTGAACGCAGTCATACAAAGCTCGTTAAATGGTTCAATCGATTGGTTTGCTATAGCCTGCATGACTTTCGCAACTAACATCAAAGACCGTCTTGAGGCTTGACTCGGTTCCGTCACTGTATGTCGGTATAATTTCTTTTTTACTCTAATTTCCAATATTGCTATTACAAATAATACGGTGTAGAGTTTTCTCTCCAGTTTATTAAAAAAAAGTGTATTATACTTTATAGTATCTCAAAATAAGACTGTGTACTAGAAAATCACAAACCATTCGACAAAAATCGTTTTGGCATAACGAGGATTGGTGTGATGAATCTCAAGAAGAGGAATCCTCCAACCGTGATGAAACCGCAGCCTTTGTACTTCTTTTCAACTTCCGTTTTTATGAATTGAAAGATGAATTTTACATTTGGTGTGAACTCGTCTTCAAAGCTATTTAATCGGTCAAACACATACTCTCCCAAGATCCTTTGAAGCGCCTGGACACTTTTAACCGACTCGTGGAAGTTGACTTTAGTCGGATCAATTTCCAGAGTAAAATTGAGGTTTTCAATTTCTCTTAGAATGGGGACAACTAACACAACTCCAAGATTTTTGAGTTCTTTCTTGAGGAATGACCCCATCAAATGTGTTAATCCATTGTTTTCTCTGAAGAGCTGATTACTGTCACTACTCTTTTCTATTTGTTCTTGTAAATTGGTCATCAGAACTTGTATTAGAACTCCCTCTCCTGAAAGTGTTTCTCGGATCGAGTCCCACATCTCGGGATTGTCTAAACCAGGCATTTTCAACATACAATTAATCACGTGGAAGTGATACATCCGACACGTCTGTAAAGTAAGTCGATGTGTTTATTATATCTATTAATAAAATATACCATATTTTGTAATTCACTATTTGAAATCATTTGTATCGTTCATTTTTAATACAAAAGTTGTGTATTTAACAAATGGATTTTGGTATAATTATTTTAAATAAAAGTTATAATACAACAATTTGAATAGTAAAAAAAAGAAATTGTGTATTATAATTTAGTATAGTTTAATAGAATAAACAATAGTAAGTGGAATAATACTATATATATAGTTAAATAACCATTTAAATATAGTACAGTACTATATAAGTATTATATATTATATTACTATAATACATGATGAAACTATTCATTACAACAAACATTCCACACTGCTGTGAAATCTATTTGTTTTGGTAAAGAGAATGGCGAGAACTGATCACGTGCAGTCGTTTTGTGATTACTCTCTTTCTTTCCCAATAAATACATTCAACTATTATATTTTAGTTCTTGTCAATCACTTTTATATTCTTGTCTTTGCTCATTCCGCTCGAGTTCTTTGTCTTTTTGTCTTCTGCGCTAAATTAAACATGTCTTTGTTTTACTCTAATAATCGTATTGTTAATTTTATCTATTTTTTATTAGACCATTGTTTTGGTAAATATAATAGATGCCATTTATAGATAGACTCCTTTTTGTCGTCATTTGTTGATTCTAACTAGATTATCTGACCCCCTATCTCTTCATCTAAAAAGACCAAATCCTTAATGAACCAAAAACTCTTAATAAAGCTAACTCAACTCCTTTGATTCAAAAATTTTCGAAAAAGTCATTTTTCGACACAAAAAAATTCCGTTTTTCACTTCAAAATCGGAAATTATTTTTTTATTTGGTTAAAAACTATTTGTTTTAAAATAATAAAAGTTAATTGTAACTATTAAATAAAAGCCTTATTTTATCATTCCATTCTCTTTTCAAAAAGTCGAAATGAAAACGAAGTAAACAGAAACGTGTGTGTTTTGACTTTACAACCATTTCATTTCCATATAATTAATTACATAGTTCATTTACCTTCTTTATTTAATAATTTTATCGT